TTTTTTTTACTCACCCTGTACAGCGTGCATGTCCCCAAAAAAGTGACACAAAAGAAATGATCCTATTGTAATAATTTGAATGCCTGAGCGCTATGCTAAACCCACTGCAGTTGCACGCGTAGACATCAGCTTCTTGAGCTTTAAACAATTTCTATTACCATAAAATTCGACTGACAAGGAAATCATGGATACGATTCAACTGAGTACAGAACAAAGAGTATTTGCTGTAACTCAATGTACCCTAATACCAAATGTAACCGCAGTGCAAAACGCATTTTCATAAAGACGAATTTTCATTCCGACTATTGCTCACCGGTAAAAATGACATATTCACGACAATTACGACTAAATGGAAACCAGGCTTAGAAGGTCCTCGTCTTAAAAGGGTCTGTAGAAATTTGGGTGACCGTTGGGACTTAAGCAAGACTAGGGTACGTCATCATAATCTCACTCCTTTCCAGTCCTCGAATACCCTTGAAACTATGCGATTGTCGCCGATTAACTCGAAATAAATCACACTGCATTTAATGGATCATGAAGTTGTACTGCACCCCGATGCACTTATTCCCACGAATCTTATTTATTTTTCTGGCTGTTAAGCTCACCTCCCCATATAGCTTGGTCCCACATATTTGCATACAATTATTAGTCGTACTGTTCGAAACGTACTAACATAGCCGCCATTCTCGTAGTCAATTAAAATAGCAAAATGTATTTTGATAGCTTATGTATGAATGTATAATATTACTTTAATTATCGTGGGATATTTGCGCACAAATGCGACCTGACAATTAACATCACAAAATTGAACACCGCATGATTGTTACGTGTCGTGGCATCATAATTATATGCCAGCGGTGGAATATGTTTGCTTGAAACTATATCCCAACTTTTGCTTTAAAGTTGATTGCATGCATATATACGCTATAACTTCGCGATTTCATAATGTACAACGTTTCCTTCTATAAACATTAAAATATCTGTTAGACATCCTTATAATGTTATACTCCTTATTTCTGTTAATTCCACACGTTACACAACCCCCTTTGAAAATCCGTATAATAACAAGAACCAATATTCATCGTGCTCCAATATTATATCCTCCATCAGTGAAGTTTTCGAAAGGCTACCCTAGCTTCGTTGCGTAAGATTGGATTTCTCCAAAAGAACACAATCGAATTTACCGAAAGAGAAGCGAGAGTGAAAGTCTTACTCCACTGTTCGATAAACATAGTTACAAAGATACTGGTTTCTAGGGAGCGTATTACACCGTAAGGGAGATAACATATTACCATACAGGCAACTACTATTACACAAGACTTAACCATCCGTATGTTTTGTGTTCTCTCCAAACGGCCTGCATTAGCAAGCACAGGATCATTTGCCGCCTTTCATATTGTCCGAAATATTGAGGTATAGATAAACACCGTAGTAACAATTCGGAAAGAAATTGCATAACTCGTTAGCGGCCGCGCAACTTGACCAAAAATCGGGTAGGCGATTGCTAATGCGAAAATTTCCAACGACATAATCGCTGCCAGACTAAATAGTCGGAGCTTTGTTATCTTTGTGCGATGAAACATGGGATAAACGATGCTCAAATATCGCTCGATGTTTAGACAATGTAAAGTTTCAAAAGACATACCACCTGCACAGAATGTTAATATTTCATGCAGAACATATATCGGCAATTTGGTTTCCCCATTATTGCTAAAGCCATGCCTAGCACAAAGACGGAATAACCGAAGACTGCAGCAGAAAGGTCGATCCCAGATAACACCGTTATCAGAAAGTATGAGATCTTGTTTCTAAGTCGAGCTGATTTCCAGTAGGTGAGAATTGTCAGCGAATTGAGGGCAACTGCCACTATAATGAGGACGATATTACACGTTATGCACGCAATATAGTTGATCTGATAACTTCGGGATGGCAGACTCGTAACCATGATATATTCAGCGTTGTAAAGTAAGCAACTTTGCCATAACATCTCGTATGAATTGGTTTCATTCATATCTGTGGAACTTTTTAGAACAAATTGTTTCGCAAACACTCGCAAATTGTTTTGGTCAACTGTTTGACTGACGTTTTAGGGATTATGAACATAAAATTGATTTTCGACGAAATAATGAATAAATAAATACTAAAAAATAATATATATTAAAAGTAATTTCCGAAGTATTGACAGCCGAGCAAAAATTAAATCGTAAAAACTCTGTGTTGGCGGAATATTGATTTATCTAATAACTTCTTATTAACCGAACCGAGATCTTTTTTGCACAGACCGAGCCCGCAAAGAGGGAGGTTGGCAATGACTATAAGCAAGCGAGGCTAATAAATAGTTATATATAATAATTATAAAATAATTATAATAATCATATTGTAGAGGGCATAAGATAGTTGTCTACGAATCATGATGCCATCTAAGTTTAAAAAGTGTGTCAATTAAACAACTGATAAAGCAGTGTCACATGCAAGGGCCTTTTTCTAGACAATCGTTTTGTAAATACTCGCGGGCGGGTTTTTGCTCACTTCAGCTGACCGTCGTAAACAATTCGAAGTTGTCCGTGAGAAAACCTCTTGTCTGCTGTCACTGATAATTTAATCATATCAGTCCTGCAATAAATCAGGCTAATGATTGGGCAGGTACCCCGGTGATTTAACGAACGAAAATCAACTGCTGGCTATCTATAATATATTCCAGATGAGCGGAGCTTCTGTAAGCTAGGGAATTGATTAAGTTTTCTTCGAAATGTCTATTAAACATTTACTGACGGGACCTACTAAAAAACACATTATTGTGATGTAGCCGGGGCTTCCTGATTAAAAATTGCTTCCCTGATTGATTGATTAAATATTATACAGTCTTTTCTTAACATAATCCAAAAAAACGTGTATTTATAAAGGTTTATTTAGAGTAAATTAGCAGCATGCATATTGCACAATACCACATTCTAATCTTTTCAGGAGTGCATGTACATTAGTTATATTGATCAAACTTCCTAAATTATTCGTCATGCATGCTATGGTTGGTTCAGATATACATGGTGTCCCAAAAAAATGTCCCCTCTATTGAGATCAAGCCTTTGTTAGAATCTGATTGCCTTAATATTATGATTATTGTGATATTATACAATTGAAAGCAAGAAGCTTTATTTGAATACCTCAACCTAATATAACTGCACTTTACACCCAACTGCATGCTTCGATCATGCATGCATTCAAATTCCAACAAAAGCTTTATTTCAATATAGGGGGGGGAGGGTTTGGGACACCCTGTATAGTCTATAGGTATGCATCATAAAGATATTGAATGTCTCAATAATTAATAATTAACAATTCCAAGCAACACAAAACTCCCCACGTGCTAGGTTCAGGCATTATAACAGTCAAAATACTAATCACGCAATAATCGCTCTGCCTATTACTAATCCCTAACATGACCCCCAATAATCGCTCTGCGTTTTGTTGTCTTTATCTTCCCAACCGCTTTCGTACCATTAGTCTACGTCAATTGGATGGTCGCATATTGCCTGACTACCAGTGTCTGAATTGCAATTTGGAAATAGTTTTCCGACAATATTTCCACCATACTTTCGCTTAACGTCTTCACAAATCGCATTAAACTGCAAACCAAACTTCACCAGTGAACACCGTCTGCCCTCCATAGGTGGACGAACGTTTCCTTCAGATCAAAGACAGGAGAGTCACTGGCACCACAAAATAGAGTTGTATCAAAGGGATGCCACTCGTTAATTGTATCTCTCAGTTGCATCAAGAAGTTCATGTGTACGCCATGCAGTGTGAATTTTTTTAAATCTTGCTTGGTTTCAAGTAACAAAATAGCCTTTACTGAGGTCAGAGAAGCTACAATACGCATTATTGTATTCTTTGTATGCGCATTATTGTATTCTTTTGTATTCTATTCTATTGTATTCTTTCTGAGTAAACCAGATTCGCTACAAAGCGAAATTATTATATTCTACGAGTACGAGATTAAAGAAATACATGTATTTGAGTATATTTGTCCAATCTAATGTAGGTCAGGGGTAAAATATTTCATGAAAATGCACAAAACGCATGCATATTTGTAATTTGACTTTCTCACGACGACGTTTTTGCGGTAATTTAAATTTTCTCAAAAAAAGTTAGAACCACATGAAAAGCAATTTTTTTAGAATGAACAGACCATTTGAAGAGTAAGTTCAGCCGAAAAATAAAGATAGTCGCCGTTACGAAGTCTTATCTTGGTTTCGAAAAAAAAGTGCCCCAAAATTGGCGGCATATTCGTCATCGTGAGAAAGGCTAATTGCAAAGTATTTCCTTGTTCAATCCTAAAAATATTAGTACTATTTCAAACGTCGACTGTTTCTACATGATAATTTTAAATTATACGCAACTGGCGCTGCGAAAACCTTACTTAATTTTATGATAAGCGTTCGATTGAACCAAAAATTCCAGTCCTAATATATAGTACAGTTATTCTACATCCATTGGCTGATTCATGTTATAATTGGGGAAAAGCTCGTGGACATTAATATTGCTTTCATTTGCTTCATATTTTTGCTTTATATCTTTACATACCGCACTAAATTGCACACCAAACTCCATCAGCGAACAGCGCGTTTGTTCTGCCGTCCTCAGTGTGTATCCCTGCGTGTGCATCGCGACGATCTTTCCATCAAAATCGAAAACTGGGGAACCACTGGAACCCGAAAATAGGCTTGTGTCGTAAGGAAGACAATCCTCATATCGTTGAGTTGCTTCAAGCAGTTCTGTATTGGTCATGTGTACACCAGTTTGAACACCATGCCTTACATTAAGTTTTTCACGCCAAGAATGATTGCTAACAACGACGCATGCTTCTTCCTGCATTTCCTTACCGCCCGGATGACCAATGATGATAACTCGCCCCTCTTGTAATGGGTAACTTCGGACAATGGGACCAAGAAAAAGACGATCACTGAGAACTTGGTTTTCTTTCAAACGAAAGAATTTATAATCTAAGTGCGGACTCTCAAGCATAGGATCTTGTTCTTCATCAACTTCCACCATAACACTCTGTTTACTTGGTTAGGATAGAGGAAATCAAACAAAACGTTTATTGGTAATTTGCAATTCTGACAATCATCTATTTCCATGTCTTCCGTATCTTCTGTTTCCTTATTTTGCGTGTCTTCTGTTGCCATGCCTTGAGTGTTTTCTGTTTGTTTATTTTGAGCATCTTTTTGTTTCTTACTCAATTGAGAAATCACTCTTTGTGTATTGAATTGCATATAAACATGAAAGTTGGTAATAACAAGCCTGTTCGAAACAAGCCAACACGTTCCCACAGCATTTTCACAAGAAATGCGAGCGATGGATTTTATATAAGTTGCTAAAGAAGCGAGAAGTCTTGCGGGCATTTTAGTTGAAACATTTTTGTAGACATCATCTCTCGCAAAGTTTACAATTACTTGATTCTCATAGAAAAAGTTTCCGTCATTAGTGTGATTATCATGATTTAACAAATCATTGTAAGCTGCCGACTTGACATTCTCTGTCATTGATTTACGAATTTTCTCTGTTAGAGGTTCTTTTCTTGACGCCCGATGAGTATACACGTATTTAGCAGGAAATTCTTTGATGTATTTCTCCAGACAAACCAGGTCGTCACTCCGTAGTCTTTCTGTCCTGCTTGGGTTGCATATTTCCTCCGTTACCAAGTTCACCCATTCTAAAAATATTTTTGGGAAAAAACCAAAAACCTAGATATATTAATTTCATGTAATGTATCTAGATATATTAATTTCAAGAAAATAATTGATTCACCGCAATTACACCGAAAAAAATTTAATTAATTCAATTTCATACAGTTCCCAAACGTTCACCATCACGAATTGACAATTGTTGAGTAGCCAATCAGAATGTAAGATTTGTAATAGACAATAGTCTGGGGGTATACTAATTAACAATTGGACAACGAGTCCGATATGAGCGAATAGTCAACGAAGGCGGCGAAGTCTGAGTTGACTATTCACTTATAGACAACGAAGGCGAGTTGTCTAATTGTTTTAGTATACACCCTGTACTTAGATATATTAATTTCGAGAAAATAATCGATACACCGCAATTACACCGAAAAATAATTCAATTTTATAGGGTCGCGCGAGCGAAATTTTCCCAAGCGTGCACCATCACGAATAGACAATGGTTGAGTAGCCAATCAGAATATAGGATGTGTAATAGACAATAGTCGGGTGTATACTTAAACTGTATAGAAAGACAGGAAAAAATGTTTTCCATTTCTTCTATAATATAACTCAATAAAAAGATTTGGTACAAATATTATAATTCGATTCAATTACAAATTCTCATTACATTACTTCGCTTGTCAAGTTCGGCGAGAAAATTCCGTGTTTCTATACAGTTTTAGTATACACCCGACTATTGTCTATTATACAAATCCTACGTTCTGATTGGCTACTCAACCATTGTCTATTCGTGATGGTGAACGTTTGGAAAAAATTCGCTCGCGCGACCGTATAAAATTGAATTAATTAAATTATTTTTCGGTGTAATTGCGGTGTATCGATTATTTCTCGATTAATATATCTAGGTACAGGGTGTATACTAAAACAATTAGACAACTCGCCTTCGTTGTCTAATTGTTAAATAAAAACGCGCTTTTCGACCAATCGGCACGCGCGTACTAAAAATGTTAAAATTATAATAAAAAATAGAATACATCTAATGGTTCAAATTACCTGTAACTGGTTGTGCTTCCTACGGTGGCCCACAGCTGCCACGGCAAAAAAATGAGGAAACAAGGCGCAGAATTTTTTTATGGCGGCCCAGAAGGGCCACGGTAAAACTTTCAGGAAACATCACGCCATGTATTTTGGGAGAACACAAAAAAGTTTTTTAGTTAAAAGTTCGTCACAAACTTTTGTTTGAAAAACATTTTCCATGCGCATTGTTCCCAATCCATGGAACTTGAAAAAAGGCGGAAAGCAAGTGCATTATCCTTTTCATAGTTAATGTAAGCAAATATATTCATTTCAACGCATCGCTTCTTGCTTGACGCATAATCGGAACGCTAAATTACGTTGGATCAGTTTGCCTGCATGGCGGGCATTAAACTGAGAATGTATGGCTATATATATGTAAATTACCTGCAATAGGATTTGTTGCTTGCGATGGTTCGGCTTCCTTTGAAATCTCTTCTTTTGCGGGCGAGTCTATTTTAGAGAACGGCGAAAAAATATGCATAAATAATTATGTTGAAATTTTATTATGAATTTAATATTCCTCCGTCATCATTATCCAATGTCTCCTACAGTTCTTTAAAGGACCACGACAGAAAAAATCTTATGCATGCATCTATTGAATTCTCAAGAGAGTCTTTCATAATTCACTTTGCAAATATAGTTTTTTAGAAAAACCAAACAAACAAATTTAACTCCTGCAAATACTATGCGATTTCTGACCGGTCATGTAATTACTGTAAGCTGATACGTAAATCCAGCCAATCAGATTGCGATTCCGCCTGAAATGCAAAAGTGCGGGAAATTTTGTACTGAAAATTTATTTGGATATGGCTTCTGCTCGTTTAATTTAATATATTGAAAACATAACCCAACATTACATAATGTAATCCGAATATTTAAAACAATATTCAGCTATAGATTGTGCAAATATAGCCTATATTTGTCCTTCTGTTCCGCCGATTTTTTCCTCGATTTTGTCAGTATAGTTTAGCTATTCACGGAAAAACAAAACATCGTAAAGTAATTACCTGCTTCCTCCTCTACGTGGTTTGCAAGTTCTCGAGCTTTTTCAATTAATTCCATCGCTTTTCTAGTGTTTCCAAGACTGAACCAAGAAACAGCTAAACCAGCAAGGGCTTTTTCTTGCAGGATGTGATCTTTATGTTCTGAATAAAAAATATGTCGTGCCCTTTCATAGAATTGAACTGCCTTCTCATCCTCACCAGCTTTACAACATGCACCCGCAAAGTTTAGACAAGATAGTCCTTCGCGATGTTTATCGTCAAGTTCTATAGCAACCTTGATCGCTTCGTTGTAATATTCCTTCGCATGATTATAATTCCCAGTTTTACATAAAATATGTCCAATGGCTTCGTTTGAACGATATTCTTGATTCTTTTCTCCGGCGCTTTTTGCGATTTCTTTTACCCGCTCGTAAAATATTTTTGCCTCTTTTTCAGAGCCTTCCACGAAACGGCAGCAAATCCACACCATTCATTTAAAATTCCCTCTAAAGCTTCCTCACCACGACCAGAAAAAACTTTTAGAGCCTTCCGAAAATACTCCAGGGCCTTTTCCAATCTTCCAAGATTAACATAACATTTTCCCAATCTTTTCAGACGTAAAGCTTGCTCGTATCCCTGGTCGTCAGAGTCATCTGTCAATTTCACAGAATAATTCGAGTCAAATTTAAAGTAGGAGTTAAAAGCCGTGAGAAGATCTGAGACAGAATTGTGGTATTCTTCGCGGAGATTTTTCAAGTAAATTTTTCTTAAAAGAGTGCATGCACTTATTAGAAAGGATATTCGATAATCCCGATTGGCACACATGCATGCAGGGAGTCCCGTGGCTAGAACCTTAATTGAAGGGAGAAAATATTTATGTATTTTTCGTATGCCTGACTGATTTCTTTATATACGAATATATATCCTTATATATGAAAGGCCGTAGCTAGAAGCTTAAATGGGGTGGGGGCGTTCAACCCTGAAAGGTTGAACGGAATACCGCTGTGCGCACAGCAGATATAAATGTGAAAAATGTTCATTCGTGAAAAAAATTGAGTTCTGATGGGCGTCAATCTCAGGATTTAATCATCCTCAATCTCGTTCCCCGAACCTGCCATTTCCATGGCGAGGAAACAAAGGCTCTGGGATAATCCAAATCGGAAGCCAGAATTCCTCATTTCCAGTTTTATTGGGTTTGAATTGTATTACAATATTCAAACGGTGTGAACGACCAAACAGAATCATCCCTGATTTCGATTATCCCCAGAGTCTTTGTTTTTCGCCCGAGGAAATCGCAAACTCAGGGAACAAAATTAGATCATCCAAAGAAACGACCATATATGCACGGGACGAAGAGGTACATATTGAAAAATTGCGATCATATGTGGAGACACACACACATAATATTTCAGGAATGCCTGCATGTCATATATATACGATGGAAAATATGAAAAAAGGGAAAGCTGTAGGAAAAATAAGAAATTCAGGACAAATCATTTTTTTGCAGAGCTTATAGAATTGGGTCAATCTATAAGCCTAGAGATAAATCTGTAGCTATCTCCTGTAAACCATGCAGACATGTTCCATGCTATTAAATGTTATGGCCTAGTATACAGTACTTTTGTCCCTTTGAACTCTCATTTCAGCGTCAACTGATCAATTGCACTTTCACTTCTAGCCCCAGGATATGCGCGGGTTTTTACTCCCTCTATCTTCGTGGCAATTGCAATTTTTTAAAACATTTCATCCCTGACCCTGTTTAATAGTTTCATGAATAAACATCCTCAACTTATTTTGATTCAATGTCCTGTAAATAGCATAACTCAATTGACCTTTTCCATAATATAACTACCAACGTTTCATTTTGGCTTGAAAAAGTGAAAAAAATGTGGCCAACTCTGTCTCAGTGTGTTCTGCGAACATACCTGACGAAAGCTCAGTTTCCTGAGATGTTACAGCTCTCTTCAAATTCGATTCCTCTGTAAACGAATCTGTAAAGCAAAGAAATTTAACGGCACTTATCAATTTTAATTTTGCTATTTTAATATGATATTACACAAAATTCGATTCGATGACGGTCCCATCAATCTGATAAAAAAGTACTTTACTAAAAAAGTAAAGGTCCAGGCAAAATGAATTTTTTTCAGCACCCTTCATTGCAAAATATAGCTACTTTACTGAATTAAAGTCTGCAATTACCAAAATTTTGCATGCAAAAAGTACCTGCAAATGACAATTCTTGAGCTACGTTTTCCGCCAACTTATCACGATAGGCGCATCCTTTTTCAGTTGCAATTTTCTCATAACATTCAATCGCACGTTCAATCTGATTGTTTACAACATAAATATCCCCTAAACGAAAATAGGCACGTATAGCATAATCTCTATTTTCACGCTGCTTTGAAATTTCCAGTGATTTTTTATAGTACTCAATTGCCGTTGAAAACTGATTGCTCAATCTATAAACATCCCCCAGCCGAAGATATGCATATATCTCACTGTCTCTATCTTTTCGTCCCCGTGAAATTCCTAATAATTTCACATAGTGTTCAATTGCCGTTTTACACTGATTGTTCAAACTATACCCATCTCCAAACCCAAGATATGCTCCTGCTTTCTCTCTATCTTCTAGTTCCTGTGAAATTTTCAATGATTTTTCGTGGTACTCAATTGCCGTTTGAATCTGATTGTTCAATCTATAAGCATGTCCTAACTCAAGATATGCAACTGTTTCGCTCTCTCTATCTTCTCGTTCCCGTGCAATTTTCAATGATTTTCCAAAGTACTCAATTGCCGTTTGAATCTGATTGTTCAATCTATAAGCATATCCTAACCTAAGATATGCACGTGTTTCATTCTCTATTTCTCGTCTTGTGCAATTTTCAATGATTTTTCAAAGTACTCAATTGCTGTTTGAATCTGATTGCTCAATCTATAAGCATGTCCCAACCCAAGATATGCAAGTGTTTCGCCCTCTGTATCTTCTCGTTCCTGTGCAATTTTCAATGATTTTTCGTAGTACTCAAATGCCGTTTGAATCTGATTGTTCAATCTATAAGCATGTCCTAACCCAAGATATGCACGTGTTTCATTCTCTCTATCTTCTCGTTCCTGTGCAATTTTCAATGATTCTTCGTAGTACTCAATTGCCGTTTGAATCTGATTGTTCAATCTATAAGCTTGTCCTAACCCAAGATATGCACGTGTTTCATTCTCTCTATCTTCTCGTTCCTGTGCAATTTTCAATGCTTTTACGTAGTACTCAATTGCCGTTTGAATCTGATTCTTCATCTATAAGCATCTCCTAACCCAAGATATGCAACTGTTTCATCCTTTCTGTCTCCTCGTTCCTGTGCAATTTTCAATGATTTTTCGTAGTACTCAATTGCCGTTTGAATCTGATTGTTCAATCTATAAGCTTGTCCTAACTCAAGATATGCACGTGTTTCATTCTCTTTATCTTCTCGTTCCTGTGCAATTTTCAATGATTTTCCAAAGTACTTAATTGCCGTTTGAATCTGATTGTTCAATCTATAAGCATATCCTAACCTAAGATATGCACGTGTTTCATTCTCTCTATTTTCTCGCTCCTGTGCAATTTTCAATGATTTTTCAAAGTACTCAATTGCTGTTTGAATCTGATTGCTCAATCTATAAGCATGTCCCAACCCAAGATATGCAAGTGTTTCGCCCTCTGTATCTTCTCGTTCCTGTGCAATTTTCAATGATTTTTCGTAGTACTCAAATGCCGTTTGAATCTGATTGTTCAATCTATAAGCATGTCCTAACCCAAGATATGCACGTGTTTCATTCTCTCTATCTTCGTTCCTGTGCAATTTTCAATGATTTTTTCCGTAGTACTCAATTGCCGTTTGAATCTGATTGTTCAATCTATAAGCATGTCCTAACCCAAGATATGCACGTGTTTCATTCTCTCTATCTTCTCGTTCCTGTGCAATTTTCAATGCTTTTACGTAGTACTCAATTGCCGTTTGAATCTGATTCTTCATTCTATAAGCATCTCCTAACCCAAGATATGCAACTGTTTCATCCTTTCTGTCTCCTCGTTCCTGTGCAATTTTCAATGATTTTTCGTAGTACTCAATTGCCGTTTGAATCTGATTGTTCAATCTATAAGCTTGTCCTAACTCAATATATGCACGTGTTTCATTCTCTTTATCTTCTCGTTCCTGTGCAATTTTCAATGATTTTTCGTAGTACTCAATTGCCGTTTGAATCTGATTGTTAAATATATTAGCATGTCCTAACTCAAGATATGCACCTGTTTCATTCTCTTTATCTTCTCGCTTCTGTGCAATTTTCAATGATTTTTCAAAGTACTCAATTGCCGTTTGAATCTGATTGTTCAATCTATAAGCATGTCCCAACCCAAGATATGCAACTGTTTCGCTTTCTCTATCTTCTCGTTCCTGTGAAATTTTCAATGATTTTTCAAAGTAATCAATTGCCGTTTGAATCTGATTTTTCAATCTATAAGCATCTCCTAACCCAAGATATGAAACTGTTTCGCCCACTGTATCTTCTCGTTCTTGTGCAATTTTCAATGAATTTTCAAAGTACTCAATTGCCGTCTGAATCTGATTGTTCAATCTATAAGCATGTCCTAACCCAAGATATGCACGTGTTTCATTCTCTCTATCTTCTCGTTCCTGTGCAATTTTCAATGATTTTTCGTAGAACTCAATTGCCGTTTGAATCTGATTGTTCAATCTATAAGCATGTCCTAACCCAAGAAATGCACGTGTTTCATTCTCTCTATCTTCTCGTTTCTGCGCGATTCTCAATGATTTTTCGTAGTACTCAATTGCCGTTTGAATCTGATTGTTCAATCTATAAGCATTTCCTAAGTTAAGATATGCAAGTGTTTCATTCTCTCTATCTTCTCTTTTCTGTGCAATTTCCATTGATTTTTCGTAGTAATCAATTGCCGTTTGAATCTGATTGTTCAATCTATAAGCATGTCCTAACCCAAGATATGCAATTGTTTCATTCTCTCTATCTCCTCTTTTCTGTACAATTTTCAATGATTTTTCATAGTACTCAATTGCCTTTTGAAACTGATTGTTTAATCTATAAGCATCTCCTAACCCAAGATATGCAATTGTTTTGTTCCCTTTTTTCCCTATTTGTATTGGAAATTTTAATGATTTTTCATAGCATTTAATTGCCTTTCTAATCTTCATTTTTGACAAATAATCATCCCCTGATCTAATGTATGCCATAGCCATTTTGTATTTGGCATGAAGTATTTTTTAAATTTTCAATCGTTGCTGAAGAATATCGTCGTTGAACTAGCTAGCAGCTAGGTGTCTGGAAGGTGCTTCTGTGCATCGCTTTCCTCCGTTCACATTAGTTCAGAACTCTTTTGTAGTGCTGAATACTTTTAATTGCTGAATGGAAGGAAAATAAGACTTACGTCACGGGGAGGGCAGGCTGTGGCGAAGAAGTCAGGTGGAGGGAAGGGTACATGTTTTATTGATCAAGCTTTATTATGAGAATGTGCAACCTTTCCATGGGCGACTAGGACAACCTTTTAACAAAAATTTCAAAGCAATCGTCAGATAAATACGAATAAGCGGGAATTATGGGATACTGGGCAAGCGTATTGTGTCAAAAGACGGACACAGGTTGAATAAAATAGTCGTAGCTCGTGAACTCAAAGACCTGCATATACGTTCTAATTCTTTTAGCACGTATAGTCTAGATGACATAGTATAGTATTATTAGTACTCTAGTATTACTATGGTAAACAAACTTTCAAATTGTAATTTGGAAGCCGCTAGATTTATTTGGAAACAAATTAATTTTAGTAGCTGACTATATACCCCGCGGTTTTATCGGATTAGAAAATAAATTTATTTATGATATTTCTTTATAATATTCTGCTCTCAATTGTGATTGATTTTCGGTTGTTGTGTCTCTAAGTTTTCTCTCAAAGCAAGAAGGCCTCGACGGGATCGTATACAATATAGGGTTGGGTGTGTTCGGTACTAGTAATCAAACCACAAAGGTGGGATGAGCAAATATCGAAGCAATTTTAAGGTCTTGATATAAGCTGTTGTTTGTTTTGGTGATTGGGAACGTGATTAATGGAACTTTATGGACCGATTATGTTTAGGAACTACAAGCATTCGTTCCTTTACGTAAAAAAACTTCCATAAAAAAACAATAAGTTCCTAATGTATTAAGGAACGTTTACAATGAGAACATATAGATCGCTTTTGTAAAGGAACTGCAAAAATTTGTTCCTTATTTTTAGGAACTTCATTTTAGGAAGAATTTGTTCCCTTATATAATAAGAAACCATATAAATGAGAACTTATAGTTCGCTTTTAAGTGAAGAAACAACAGCAACCGTTACGTTTGTTCATTAATTTTCTTTACTCTATGATCGGAACTAATTCATGAATGGTTCCTTATGCATTAATTAAGGAACGTTTGAATACATCATGTACTTTATGGTCGCCTTTCTATGCAAACGTCTGAAAAGGATTAAATATTGCAATAAGGGACGCTTTTCATGTCAGTGGCTCATGATGGTCCTGCATGGCAGTTCCTTCTTTACTCTTATATTGAACGCCCGAATTAGAAAGCATAAATGATAGGGGAAGCAAATTTAATCGTTGCAAAATGTTTGGGATCGGTTGAAAGAAAACAATATACACTTGTAGCTTAATCATTTATAATTATAATATAGCAGTTTATTTTAATAATAATAACATGAAGTCAATATTTTAAAGTAATTTTAGCCTTATTGCTCTCATTCTTAATGTATTTGGTATTGTGCATTCTTGAAATTTGTAGGGAGGGCACTTTAAAATGCAAGTCCAGCGCATGCCAAACTTTTCCAGTCCAACTTTTCTCAGATAAGAATTATCTTCCTCTTGCGTAAATCGAATTGCTCCCCTCGTATCTGTACTTATTTTTTCTTTCGCATGCACGAATTGGCGTTGCACTCGCAGGGTTCGGCAAGGTATATCATTGTGTTCAATAGCTGTTTCCATATCTTTGACTTAATGACAAGGAACGTTGGACTCGCTGTGTCCCAGTTGCTGAACGCACATGTCCATAACTTTTCCATTTGGACCGCGCAACTTTTCCATGCAGGATCGTCCTCTCTATATAGTTGTCGCCGCAATAATCTCGATTTCGACGGTTTTTCTGACGCTTCCGAAAGAGCTTATGCTGCTGTCGTATATCTTAGGTCCGTACATGCTAATGGTACTGTCGAAATCGAGATTATTGCGGCGACAACTAGAGTAGCACCGCTACATAAACAATCCATTCCGCGTTTGGAGCTCTTGGGGGCATTAATCTTATCGCGATTCGTCAACTCAATATTACAAGCTCTGAAAACATTGAGAATCGACGCTGTTTTCTTATGGACGGATTCACTTACTACGCTATGTTGGATCCAAAACGACAAGAATTGGAAGAAATATATTCAGAATCGAGTCCAAGAAATACGTGAACTAACAGACAGAGATACTGAGATATATAGTTGGAGACATTGCCCTGGCAATTTAAATCCCGCCGACTTGCCCTCTCGCGGATGTTCTGGAAAAGATCTAGTTCACAACGAGAGTTGGTGGTCGGTCCTTATTTTCTTAAATTATTAAGTGATGAATGGCCGACAACACCGTCAAGGACACTCAATGATGAATTAGCCGATGACGAGGTTATCAAGCATCCTCCTAATCTGACTCACACTCTTACAAGCAACGCAAACACTACCGTTTTATCAGTACAAGTGGAGAAGATTATTGATGTCACGCATTACAGTTCGAAGGACAGGTTGCTGCGTGTTACAGCAAGGGTGCTTCGCTTTGTTAAGAGATCTCAAAAGCATCGTTGTCCATGTACGAGAGACAAGCCGAGGAATTACGCGAAGCCGAAAAACTTTGCATGGTTTAGATTTGTTCAGAACGAATAATTTGTAGAACAACTTTCATGTCGATTGGTTAAGCAACTGCGACTTTTCATCGACAAAGACCAAATTATACGATGCGAAGGGAGATTATCGAACTCAAAACTCTCAGATGATTCAAAAACACCAATACTTATGCCCACGAAACATCATTTCACTGAGTTACTTGTACGAGAGTGCCACAAAAGAGTCCAACACGATGGTACACCGGCGAAATATTGAGCTGCATTCGTGAGAGTATTTGGGTACTTCGTGGTCGAGAAACTGTACGAATAATTAGAAGATGTGTAACATGCCAGAAGTTAGAAAGAAAACCGTTTGCAACACCAAAGGAACCGCAACTTCCGTATGGGCGAGTTAGTGAGGATCCCCCATTTACTAATTCCGGAATAGATTTTGCTGGTTTGCTCTATTTTAAAGATGCTAATAGGACACAAAAGGCTTATATCTGCCTCTTCACATGTCAGAGTACAAGGGCGGTTCATTTAGAACTCGTTAACAGCTTATCGACAAAGTCATTTCTACAAGCCTTTAGACGATTTGCGGCACGAAGAGGCCTACCTGCATTCTTATTAACTGATAACGCGAAAACGTTCAAGGCTGCTTCAAAGCAAGTATAACAAATAGTAAGATCGTCTGAAGTACAAAGAGCTCTTGTTAGTAAAGGCGTATCATGGCAATACATTACAGAAAAAGCACCATGGCATGGTGGTTTTTGGGAGCGCCTGGTGAGAAACGTAAAACGGTGTTTGAAGAAAGCTTTAGGAAGAGCATCGTTGAATTTTGAAGCTTTGAGAACAATCATAATTGAAGTTGAGACCACTATTATTAATCGACCTTTAACATACATCTATGACGATCACGAAGGAGTTTCTTACCCCCTTACACCCTCAGATTTCATTTATGGGCGAAGGATATCCGTGCTTCCGAATGAAAGATATTTCGAAGTTGTGAGCACTAGTAAGTCGCTGACGAAGAAAGCTAAGCATCATAGACTTCTTTTGAATCAATTCGTAAAAAGATGGAGAAATGAATATCTCGTTAGTCTTAGAGAAGTTTCATCAGCACTTCATGGTCCTTCACGAGAGATCATATCCGTTGGTGATATAGTGGTGATAAAAAATGAGAGCGTTCCACGGATTTTTTGGAAGTTAGGCAAGGGTTAGAGAAGTAATGATGAGAGTAATGATGGCGTAACACGTTCAGCGAAGGTCAGAGTCATGAATTCACAGCAAGGAAGAATAACTGTTCTGCGAAGCCCTATCCAACACCTTGTTCCTCTGGAACTTCATATGGGTCCAACATCGAACGCTGATAGTATTCCAGATCAGACTGACGTTATAGAGGAGAACGTCACAACCCGAATACGACCTCCAAGACGAAGAGCTTCCTATTCAAGGCGAACAAAGACGAAAACAAGGAAATGAGTCGAACTCATGACAGTCTCTATTATTAACTTCTTATTTTGTTATAGATTTGATCACATGCATGAGTGATCATGCAACGCCGGGAGTGTAACGTACTGTGTAGCTCTTGCGTTAAGTTGATATCACGTGCGCCGCTCGTGAAGTAAAAGTACTTAATTGATTACACACGAGTTGTTGTTGTTAATCTTCGAAAAGACAAAATAAAAGAAACCTTTATGATTTAAACCGTTGTAAATCGAAATTAAGAATATCAGGAAAACGAACGAAATTAATTAATTATATGTGTATCAGTATAATGAGAACGGCAGGAACATATATACTGATACACACAATAAAATGTGAACTAATGAATCAATGAAGAAGTATATAAACAACCATTATACGCCATGGCTGCATGTATACCTCAATTTGGTGGTGAATATTCACAAATTCGTTTATTACTGACAAAATATAAACTAGTATTGTCCCAGAGGTATTGTTCCTAAAATATGAAAACACAGATATATGAAAATTTAATCGGTAACTACCAAGCATATCATAACATTGTCAAAATTATAGCGGCTTTTGAAAGCTGAAAAAGTTCCTAAAAATAACGTTGCGTTCGCGTCCGCCGCTGTGTGTCGGCCTTTACAATCAAAACATTAAAAAATTATTGTAGTACGCGCAAAGCGCAGAAAGCGTAAAGTTTCCCTAATGCTATGAATTAGGGATCATTATGCATGAATCTTCGAGCCCCCGCCATTTTTTTCGCGCCTTCCGTCTTTTTCTCTGCCCATCTCATTGCACTTTGTTTCTGAAAATTTCGCCATTCAACCCTCTTAGTAGAGCTGAGTAAAATCCGCCCTATCTAGATTCTAGTGTAACAGTCGGCATAATTATAACATTTCTTTCTAACCAAATTATGTTCAGTCGTCTGCTGGTTGGTAGGCTATACTCGAAAATTTGCCTGCTGGTTAATTATGATTTTGGACATCGTATATAATAAGTGAGTATTAGGGAAGATTAAAATTATAGTTACCCAAACACATTTTTGAATATTAACCAACAGACTGGGTATTATTGTAAATCTTATTGTAAACTTATTTGGATTGAAAGAACTCTTCGTAAAGCAGAGTTTGAAAGGGTATACAGCGTCAGCGGGTTTTTTACTCGACCATACAAAGATAGCCAACCCTCTCGCTGTGTTTATAAATACATGGATTACACACGATTTAATCAAAGGTCTTGATCTATACTGCTCTTGCTAGTAAAACGATGTTTTTAATAATTTCTGTTCGCTTAACACATTATACATACATGTGGCACAAATGGTAAAAAATAAGCACTTGCCTGGAATTGCCCAAACTAACAAGAATCAAAATGCCACGTCATTAGATCCAAGCGTTAGACAGCTGCTATGTTTCTGCCGTTCTCATTTATACTCAGTCTGATACACACAATAAAATAGAACTAATATTCAATGAAGAAGTAAATAAACAACGATTAAAACTTTGCTCAATATAAATTTCAGTTAACACCAAACAATAGCAGACTTGCTGTGTTGATACGAATAATAAATATATTAATTAATGTATCCTGCACGGATGCATGGTTTGCTATTTCTAAAGCTCAGTGGGGCATGTTTGTCTCAGTCAAATATTTTCAGCCTATCAACCTCAGGAAATTTGCTTCTGTAAGAAGCATTTCGGACTTCAATTAGATGTTAGCTTATACGCCAGGGCTGTATAGCTCAATTTGGGGGTGAATATTCACAAATTCGTTTAACACTGACAGAATATATATATACTAGTATTGTTCCAGAGGTATTGTTCCTAAAGTATGAAAAAAACACGAATATATGAAAATTTAATCGGTAACTACCAAGCATATCATAACATTGTAAAAATATTAGCGGCTTTTTCTCTGCCCATCTCATTGTACTTTGTTTCTGAAGATTTCGCCGTTTAATCAAATGGCAAACAATTGTTTAAACTAGACGGTAACGCTATCCCGTCGGAGGTACCACTATGTCGACAATGTTGCCTTCGCCAAGGTGTAATCTTTGACACAATCACAAGTTTTTATACCATTTATTCAAATAACACAAAATCCCAATCAGCGCATGGGCTGCTCACATCATACACACTTCACTATCACACACTGCTTCATAACTCCCTACGCCCTCGTCTTAAATTTCAATTATGTTTCTGACGTCACGTGCGATTGAAACCCTATATACTCCTATATAATTCCTATATAATTACGTTATTAATAGCGCCAGTCTCCCACAGTACTTTGTTTCTGAAGATTTCGCCGTTTAATCAAATGGCAAACAATTGTCTCCTGTTATCCTAAGTTTACATGCACACACAAACCAAAGTCAACGTTCCAAATCGTCGGGGTTACAGATTCAAATTAGTCGAAAGATGTTGACATTTTAAATATCTTGTTCTCATGATGTCAACTATATAGTTTTTTAATTCGCGTGAGATTTGGTTTAAATTATTAAAAATACGGTGCTGAAAATTTTTTTAATAAAAACATAGACAAAGATTATATCGAAGGTCTAATTATTTACACTAGAAAATTTCTACTGGAAAATTGAAGTCTAAAAACTCAGAGTGGTCTTTCTTCTGATTTAGCGTCAGAACAAGTACCCCAGCATAATCGTAGGCATCTGGTCGTTACTGAACAATTCACACCTATACCAACAAATATATTCATCTTCATCTAAAAAACCGCTTTCGTATCATTAGTCTACTTCCATTGGATGGTCATACATTGTCTGGCCATCGGTGTCTAAATTGTAATTTGGAAATAATTCTTCGACAGCATTTTCACTGTACTTCCGTTTAATGTCTTCACAGATCGCATTAAACTGCAAACCAAACTCCATCAGTGAACACCGTCTTCCCTCCATAGTTGGTAACACGTATCCCTGAGCGTGCATTGCGACGATGTTACCGTTCATATCAAAAACAGGAGAGCCACTGGCACCACAAAATAGACTTGTATCGTACGGCAGACATTCTTTGTATCTGTCAGTTGCATTAAGAAGATCTGTGTTGGTCATGTGTACACCAGTGTGAACACCATGCCTTGCATTAAGTTTTTCACGCCACGAATGACTGCTGACAACAACACATGTTTCTTCATGCATTTCTTCTCCGCCAGGATGCCCAATGATTATAACTCGCCCTTCTTCTAATCGACGACCTCGAACAATTGAGCCAAGAGGAAGGCGGCTGTTAAGACTCTCGTCTTCTTTCAGACGTAAGAATTTATAATCCAATTGTGAATTCTCTATGTGTGGATCTTGTTCTTCATCAACTTCAACTGTGACAACACCTTGCGTTGGGTCGTGATGCAAAAAATCAAATGAAACGTATATTGGCAAGTTGGAATTTTGAGTATCCTCTCTTTCCTTATTGATCATCAGGTAAATGTGAAAGTTAGTTATCACGAACCTTTTCGACACAAGCCAACACGTTCCTCGAATACTTCCGCATGAAATCTGTGCAATAGATTTAACATAAGACGCCAAAGGCCCGTAAAGTCTTGTAGGCTTCTGAGTTGAAATATTTTTATGAACGTCGTCTCTTGCAAAGTTGAGAATTTGTTGATCTCCATCGACAAATTGCCCATCGTTGGTGCCAAACAATTTATTATTTTGATCTAACAAAAAAGTGTAAGCTGCCGACTTGACATTTTCGGTCATCGATTTACGAATTTTTTCTGTTAGAGTTTCCTTTCTCGACGCCCGATGAGTATACACGTATGTAGCAGAAAATTCTTTGATGTATTTCTCAAGACAAACCAGGTCATCAATCTGCAGTCTTTCTGTTCTGCTCAAGTTGCATATTTCCTCCGTTATCAAGTTTACACATTCTAAAAATATTTATTTATTATAAACAATAAGTAGTTTTCTTTCCGCTTTAATACATCTAGTCACTAGTGTTTCAAATTACCTGTAACTGGTTGTATTTCCTGAAATCGGCGAACATTTTTTGAATTTGTTGTTGCTAAATGTGGTTAAAAGTGAAAAGAGTGCATTATCCTTTTTATAACTTACGTATAAACAAAATATTTATTTTAACGCATTGCATTTCGCCAGACGGACAACCGGTACGCTAAATCATGTTTGATCAGTGTTCCTGGGGCTTGAAAGAGTAGCTACATACCCATGTAAATCAGAATATTATAAAATTACCTGCTTTTATATTGCCTGCAATAGGAATTGCTGCTTGCAATGGTTCGGCTTCCTTTGAAATCGTTTCTTTTGCAGGCGAATCTATTTTTGAGAACGGCAAAAAATAAGATATATGCACAAATAATTTGTCCCATTTGTATTACGTGGTATCCGATGTTGTAATTTTATTAAGAGTTATTCCTCAATGACCAATATCCAAAACCATGCAAATCAATTACAGTTCTTTAATAGCGTTTTAATTGAATTATCAGTAGAGTCTTCTATAATTTACTTTGTTTTTGTAATATTTTTACTAAAAACAACGAGAAATTAAAAGTTTGCACAAAAGCGAGTTTTTTTAGAAAAACAAAACAGACAAACTGTCGCATAAATAAACGATTTCTGACCGTGGTCATGCAATTATTGTAAGCTGCTACGTACATCCAGCCAATCAGATTGGGATTCCGCCAGTTGCTGATTTGTAAAAAAATGAGAAGAATTGTCATGAAATTCAAAAGACCGGAAAATGTTGGAAATCAATTTTGCACTAATATATTGAAAACACAACCCAACATTGACATAATTTGATTCGATAATTAAAAACCGTATTCAGTTATATAGATTTGTTATATTTTAGCGATTCGCAGAAAAAAAATCGTAAATAATCACCTGCTTTCTCTTCTATGTGGTTTGCAAGTTCTCGAGCTTTTTCAATTGATTCCATCGCTTTTCTAGTGTTTCCAAGATTGAACCAAGAAACAGCCAAACCAACAAGGGTTTTCTCTTGCTGGATGTGATCTTTATGTTCTGAATAAAAAATATGTCGTGCCCTCTCATAGAATTTTACTGCTTTCTCATCCTCACCCGTTTTACAACATACACCCGCAAAGTTTAGACAAGATAGTCCTTCGCGATGTTTATCGTCAAGTTCTGTGGCAACCTTGATCGCTTCGTTGTAATATTCCTTCGCTTGATTATAGTTTCCAGTTTTGCATAATATATGTCCAATGGCTTGGTTTAAACGATATTCTTGATTCTTTTTTCTTGCGCTTTTTGCGATTTCTTTTACCCGCTCGTAAGGCATTTTTGCCTCTTTTTTATCTAAAATTCCCTCTAAAGCTTCCTCACGACGACCACAAACCATTTTCAGAGCTCTCTGAAAACACTTCAGGCCCTCATCCAATCTTCCAAGATTAACATAACACTTTCCCAATCTTTTCAGACGTAAAGCTTGCTCGTATTCCTCGTCGTCAGAGTTATCTGTCAATTTCACAGAATGATTCGAGTCAAATTTAAAGTAGGAGTTAAAAACCGTGAGAAGATCTAAGACAGAATTGTGGTATTTTTCGCGGAGATTTTTCAACTGAGCGCATTCACTCATTAGAAAAGATAATTTATTCGACAGTCCTGATTGGCACACATGCATGCTGGGAGTCAGGTAGATTATCACCAGAGCCTTTGTTTTTCGCCTGAGGAAATCGCAGGCTCAGAGAACAAAGACAACCACACATAATACTTCAAGATATGCCTGCATGTCATGTATATATATATATATATATATATATATATATATATATATATAATTATATATATATATATATATATATATACGATGGAGAATATGAAAAAAGGGAAAGCTGTAGGAAAAATAAGAAATTCAGCGAAAATTATTATTTGCAGAGCTTATAAAATTGGGTCAATCTATAAGCCTAGAGATAAATCTGTAGCTATATCCTGTAAACCATGCAGACATGTTTCATGTTATTGTTATGGCCTGGTATACAGAACTTTTCTCCCTTTAAACTCTCATTTCAGCGTCAACTAATCAATTGCGCTTCCACTTCTAGCCCTGGGATACATGCACGGGTTTTTATTCCCTCCATCTTCGTGGCAGTGGTAATGTCTTTTTTAAAACATTTCATCCCGGACCCTGTTTGATAGTTTAATGAATAAACATCCTCAATTTATTTTGATTTATTGTCCTGTAAAAATAGCATAACTCAATTGACCATTTCCATAATATAGCTACCAACTTTTCATTTACGCTTGAAAAACTGAAAAAGAAATGTGGCCAACTATGTCTCAGCATATTCTGCGAACATACCTGACGAAAGCTCAGTCTCCTGAGATGTTACAACTCTCTTCGAATTCCATTCCTCTGTAAACGAATCTATAAAGCAAAATATTTTAACGGCACTTAACACGTTTAATTTTGCAATTTTTATGTGATATTTCACAAAATTCGATTCGCTGACAGTCCCAAAAATCTGAATAAAAAAGTACTTTACTAAATAAGTAAAGGTCCAGGCAAAATGAATTTTTCTCAGCACCCTTCATTGCCATATATAGCTACTTTACTGCATTAAAGTTTGCAAATACCAAAATCTTGCATGCAAAAAGTACCTGCAAATGATAATTCTTGAGCTACGTTTTCCGCCAACTTATCAAGATACGTGTGTCCTTTTTCAGTTGCAATTTTCTCATAACATTCAATCGCACGTTCAATCTGATTGTTTACAACATAAATATCCCCTAAACCAATAAAGGCACGTATAGCATAATCCCTATCTTCACGCTGCTTTGAAATTTCCAGTGATTTTTTATAGTACTCAATTGCCGTTGAAAACTGATTGCTCAATCTATAAACATCTCCTAACCGAAGATATGCATATATTTCACTGTCTCTATCTTTTCGTCCCCGTGCAATTCCTGATAATTTCTTATAGTGTTCAATTGCCCTTTCAAACTGATTGTTCAAACTATACGCGTCTCCAAACCCAAGATATGCTCCTGCTTCATTCTCTCTATCTTCTCGTTCCTGCGCAATTTTTAATGATTTTTCAAAGTACTCAATTGCGGTTTGAATCTGATTGTTTAATCTATAGGCATGTCCTAACCCAAGATATGAAACTGTTTCATTCTCTCTATCTCCTCTTTCCTGTGCAATTTTCAATGATTTTTCATAGAACTCAATTGCCGTTTGAATCTGATTGTTCAATCTATAAGCATGTCCTAACCCAAGATATGCAACTGTTTCATTCTCTCTATCTCCTCTTTCCTGTGCAATTTTCAATGATTTCTCGTAGTACTCAATTGCTGTTTGAATCTGATTCTTCAATCTATAAGCATGTCCTAACCCAAGATATGCAACTGTTTCATTCCCTATATCTTCTCTTTCCTGTGCAATTCTCAATGATTTTTCAAAGTACTCAATTGACGTTTGAATCTGATTGTTCAATCCATAAGCATGTCCTAACCCAATATATGCACGTGTTTCATACTCTCTATCTTCTCGTTCCTGTGCAATTTTCAATGATTTATCGTAGTACTCAATTGCCGTTTGAACTTGATTATTAAATCTGTAAGCATGCCCTAACCCAAGATATGCATGTGTTTCATTCTCTCTGTCTTCTCGTTCCTGTGCAATTTTAAAAGATTTTTCATAGTACTCAATTGCCGTTTGAATCTGATTTTTCAATCTATAAGAATCTCCTAACCGAATATATGCGTTTGTTTCATTCTCTCTATCTTCTCTTTCCTGTGCAATTTTCAATGATTTTTCGTAGTACTCAATTGCCGTTTGAATCTGATTCTTCAATCTATAAGCATATCCTAACCCAAGATATGCACGTGTTTCACCCTCTCTATCTTCTCGTTCCTGTGCAATTTTCAATGATTTTTCGTAGTACTCAATTGCCGTTTGAATCTCATTTTTCAATATATAAGAATTTCCTAACCCAAGATAGGCATTTGTTTCATTCTTTCTATCTTCTCGTTCCTGTGCAATTATCAATGACTTTTTATAGTACTCAATCGCCGTTTGAATCTGATTGTTCAAACTATAAGCATGTCCTAACCCAATATATAAGTTTGTTTCATTTCCTCTGTCTTCTCGTTCCTTTGCGATTTTCAATGATTTTTCATAGTACTCATTTGCCGTTCGAATCTGATTGTTCAATCTATAAGCATGTCCTAACCCAAGATACGTAAGTGTTTCGCCCTCTGTATATCCTCGTTCCTGTGCAATTTTCAACGATTTTTCGTAGTACTCAATTGCCGTTTGAATCTGATTGTTCAATCTATAAGCATGTCCTAACCCAAGATATGCAAGTGTTTCATTCTCTCTATCTTCTCGTTCCTGTGCGATTATCAATGATTTTTCATAGTACTCAATTGCCGTTCGAATCTGATTGTTCAATCTATAAGCATGTCCTAACCCAAAATACGCAAGTAATTCGCCCTCTGTATATCCTCGTTCCTGTGCAATTTTCAATGATTTTTCGTAGTACTCAATTGCCGTTTGAATCTGATTGTTCAATCTATAAGCATGTCCTAACCCAAGATATGCACGTGTTTCATTCTCTCTATCTTCTCGTTCCTGTGCAATTATCAATGATTTTTCATAGTACTCAATTGCCGTTCGAATCTGATTGTTCAATCTATAAGCATGTCCTAACCCAAAATACGCAAGTGTTTCGCCCTCTGTATATCCTCGTTCCTGTGCAATTTTCAATGATTTTTCGTAGTACTCAATTGCCGTTTGAGTCTCATTTTTATATATATAAAAATTTGCGAACCTAAGATAGGCATATGTTTCATTCTTTCTATCTTCTCCTTCCTGTGCAATTATCAATGACATTTTATAGTACTCAATCGCCGTTTGATTCTGATTGTTCAAACTATAAGCATGTCCTAACCCAATATATGCGTTTGTTTCATTTCCTCTGTCTTCTCGTTCCTGTGCAGTTTTCAACGATTTTTCATAGTACTCAATTGCCGTTTGAATATGATTATTAGAACTATAAGCATCTCCTAACCGAATATATGCTTTTGTTTCATTCTTTCTATCTTCTCGTTCCTGTGCAATTTTCAATGATTCTTCGTAGTACTCAATTGCCGTTTGAATATGATTATTAGATCTATAAGCATCTCCTAACCCAAGATATGCACGTGTTTCATTCTCTCTATCTTCTCGTTCCTGTGCAATTTTCAATGATTTTTCGTAGCACTCAATTGCCGTTTGAATCTGATTATTAGATCTATAAGCATCTCCTAACCGAATATATGCGTTTGTTTCATTCTTTCTTTCTTCTCGTTCCTGTGCAATTTTCAATGATTTTTCGTAGTACTCAATTGCCGTTTGAATCTGATTATTAGATCTATAAGCATGTCCAAGCCTAATATATGCGTTTGTTTCATTTCCTCTGTCTTCTCGTTCCTGTGCAGTTTTTAACGATTTTTCATAGTACTCAATTGCCGTTTGAATATGATTATTAGAACTATAAGCATCTCCTAACCGAATATATGCTTTTGTTTCACTCTCTCTATCTTCTCGTTCCTGTGCAATTTTCAATGATTCTTCGTAGTACTCAATTGCCGTTTGAATATGATTATTAGATCTATAAGCATCTCCTAACCCAAGATATGCACGTGTTTCATTCTCTCTATCTTCTCGTTCTTGTGCAATTTTCAATGATTTTTCGTAGCACTCAATTGCCGTTTGAATCTGATTGTTCAAACTATAAGCATGTCCTAGCCTAATATATGCGTTTGTTTCATTTCCTCTGTCTTCTCGTTCCTGTACAGTTTTCAACAATTTTTCATAGTACTCAATTGCCGTTTGAATCTGATTATTAGATCTATAAGCATCTCCTAACCCAAAATATGCACGTGTTTCATTCTTTCTATCTTTTCGTCCCTGTGCAATTTTCAATGATTTTTCATAGTACTCAACTGCCGTTTGAATCTGTTTATTAGATCTATAAGCATCTCCTAACGCAATATATGCATTTGTTTCACTCTCTCTATCGTCTCGTTCCTGTGCAATTTTCAATGATTTTTCATAGTACTCAATTGCCGTTTGAGTCTGATTGTTAAATCTATAAGCATACCCTAACCCAAGGTATGCAAGTGTTCTGTTTCTTTTCTTTCCTATTTGGATTGGAATTTTTAATGATTTTTCATAGTATTCAATTGCCTTCCTAATTTGCTGGTTTGACAAATAATAATCTCCTAATACAATGTTTATCCCAGCCATTTCCTATTTGACATAAATTCTAGTCAATCGTTGCTGATGAAGATTGTCGGTGAAGAAGCTAGGCGTCTCTAATGTGATTCTCCATATGGACTGTGTCCTTAATTGCTGGAGGGAAAGAAAAAACACTTATGTCATGGGGTGGGCAGGTTTTGGCGAACGAGTCGGGTGGGGGAGAGGAGTCTCGTGTGATATTGACCAACTTTTGTAACGAGTGTGCAACTTTCCATCCGCGACTAGGACAACCTTTTGTGAAAAATTTCAGTCATTTCATTCCCTCTTTATTCCGCCCCCTCCTGCACCTCCGGGGTATTCTCGGTTTTCATTTTCGAATACACCTCCGGGGTATTCTCAGAAAATTAAACTAATTTTAGAAGTTTATAGCTATCTTTCAAAACAAGATAAATTTTGCGTTATTTCTAGTTCAGGTAATGCGATATATTTTCAAAAGGCTATGGTAATTCTTCTTTGTAGACCCCCCACCCCCAAGCAGTTTCCCCCAGCCCCCACCAAATTCTCTGTGTAACCTTGGTTGTTGTAATTGCACTTTTGTTCATAGCTAATGAAAATCACCAGAGTATTATCATTTAGGATACAAAATATAGTTAATAATGACGAATTTTAATAATTCTAATAATAATTTCTAATAATGATAATTCTTTTAATAATTATTTACCAAGTTTAGTGGGATAAAAACTTAATAATCATAATGAAGTTCAATAAATCGTGCAATTACATACCCGCATTTTGTAACCTCGTATTAATTGGCATTAATTGCACTCCTGTACGCACCACGTACCTCTTTTTTCACTGTCACGGAAGTTTAACGTATACAGAAAAGCGCATAAAATGCACGTGACGTCCATGATGGCGTAGTTGTGTCATCAATTTAGCAGGCATCCTTATCCTTAGCCAATGACTTTCGAAAAATAATGCGGGTTACAGGCAAGAGTGTTCGTCATTCTATTTCTTGATATCATATATAGATATAATATGGCATTTAGTAAATCGCACACTAAAATTTCCGTATAATTACCAATTTTCGTATTTGAAGTTTGGACGGTCTTTTAAATATAGATGAAAACCCATATAAGGTGTTTACCACCTTAATTTCGAATATTTCAATATGAAAGGTAAAGCATACGCTTGGATTTGACTCTAATATGCATTAATTTTACTGTATTAATACATACATAGAATAACATGGATTAATTTACTTCGACATACCTGTCCACAAATGGCTCAGATTTCTGTATTGAAATAATATGACGTTATTCCACATATCAAGACGTTGGTGTGAAAAGCATTTATATATACAAAATGCGCACCAATTCAACAAGCATATTTTAACCACAGATATTTCTTCGTCTTGGATGTTTCGACTTCCGACTTCCAAAATAAAATGCGCCATGCGGGTCTCTTACGTCATCATCCTCGTTTCCAGGTTTTCTGCGTACTGCGTGGGCTACAGCCTACAGCCTAACATCATCTAACGAATGAATCAAAGGCCGACAGGCCGGACCCACAAAGTTTCTTCATTGGCGCCGGTTGTATAAAAAGGCAGTTAACTTTAAACTATGGTTAGTGGTAGAATTGGTCAATCAGAATCTTATTTGATCAGAATCAGTATTTATCGAAAAAGTGTGAAAAGTAAAATACTTGAATAATGGGATAATTGCTGATCAGTAACAAAAACTGAACTGACCTTGCTTGCTTTGAAATCTCTTTTCAACATTTTTTTCTTCAATTTACGAGAATATAATCCAAAAATCCAAACATAATCCACATTGACGTTTTTGATTATATTTTCCTTTTTTAAGTGGTATTTATCAAGGCTTTGTGAATTATTTTTCATTCTGTGGTTAGTTCAGTTAACCAGCTGAATTCTATTTTGTCATCAGTCTACGTCACTACAGAGTCACATGAGATGCGCATGCGTCTTGCCAATCAGTGCTTGCACGCTTGCCAAAGTCGAAACGTGAAATTTTGTGCGAAGAAATCTTCTTTGTTTATGGTTTTCACGGGTGGTTACACTTGACATTTGTAAGTATTTAGTATTCTGTCTCCAGTTCGCCTTTTAGGTTCAAATTTAGAATGGAAAATTTACATAACGGTGATGAAAATCGGGGAGATTATCATACCTCCGAACGTCAAGAAGCGGGAGAATCGTCTACTTCAACCGCCGTTCCTCCTCAGTCGAGAGATATTGGCGAGGCTTTAGAGACTATTGGAGAAAACATGGGCCAAATGGCTACCATGCTACAACAAATCTATGAAGAACGACGTTCTTCGAAGAGCCCAACGGGTCGAAAACGAGCTCGCTCACAGTCGCCACCGGCGAATAGTTCGACAAAATCAAAGTCAGCACTCGGCTCAACAGGCTCGACCACGCGTCAGACCCATGAAGGGAGTTCCCGCCAAATTGACGATGATCGAGTTAGCATTTATGCGAGCGGTAGCGAACAGGATGATCTTGAGGAGGACCTCTTATTGCTCACCGGGCAAAACAAATCGGTCAACGACCAACCAGACTCTGACCTTCTTCGCGACTTAGCTAACGCGCTTGAGGAAGATGAACCCACCGGGGAAAGTGTCAATCAACCATTGGCTGATATTGCCAACAAGCGTTGGGGCAAACAGTTAGGTTCTGATAAGGTTAAGGCACTACTTACAAAATACAAACGTCCAGAGAATTGTAGGGATATTACTGAGGTCAGAGTGAACCCAGAGATTTGGGGTCAACTCTCCTCCCAAAAGAAGAAAACTGACTTACAATTAAGCAATTTTCAACAAATAGCAAGGAAACTCCTGTTTGCTAACCTTCAAATGACCAATACCTTATTGGCAGGGCAACAAATTGATTCTAAATCAGTGCTAGCTCAATCTGTTGATTCTATTGCCCTTCTGGGACATATGAATCACAATTTGTCCCAATTAAGGAGAGATCAAATACGTCCAGCGCTTAAACCGGAATATGTGTCTATATGTTCCTCCTCTGCAGATCATGAGGACAGTAAGTTGTTGTTTGGTGATGATCTGCCAAAGCGGCTGCGGGATGCTAAGGAATCCTGCAGAATAGGAAACACCATGACACACAATATCACACGACAAAGTGGTAGGAAACAAATTTCCAGGGAAAGTAATGCTAGCGGCCAACGAGCATCTGGTCACCCTTATCGAAGACCAGGGAAAGATTTTTCTGGAAAGGCCAGACTCGGCCTGCCAAGAGGAAAAATGTGCCACCGGCAGGGAGGAAATAATGCAGAAATTGCAGGATATTAAAAATTCGGTAAGTAAATTTTTAGATTTTGTGCCATGTTTAGTAGAATATCTCCAGCAGAGATGCCTTGACTTCACAGCTGGACAAGTGGCTAACCATTTTAAAAAGTGGGTAGACCTTACCTATGACAAGGAAATACTTTCCGACATTGCTGGTATGAGAATCCAATGTGATGAGATACCAACTCAGCACAAACTTTTGAACTCTATCAGGCTAAAAAATGAGCAGTTGCTCATTGATCAGGAGATTGTGAAATTAGTTCAGAAACAGGTAATAGTACCTGTTAGACCAGAACCTGATCAGATACTATCAGGTATATTTTTACATCCAAAAAAGGATGGTTCATTTAGGTTAATACTTAACCTGAAAGAATTTAACAAGTATGTGACCTATCACCATTTCAAAATGGACTCCCTAAACACTATAACCAAGCTCATGGTAAAAAATTGTTATATGGCCTGTATTGATTTGAAGGACGCTTATTATTCAATACCTATTCATGCTTCTGATAGAAAATATTTACGGTTTGAATGGGATGGCAGGACATATGAGTTCACCTGTTTACCAAATGGTCTTTCTTGTTGCCCAAGAAAATTCACTAAAATTCTTAAACCACTTCTGGCTTATTTACATAAACAGAACCATATTTCTGTGGCACATATTGACGATTTGTACCTTCAGGGTCAAACATATAACCTATGTGTACATAATGTTGTGGACACAGTAGTATTATTAGATGAAGTGGGCTTTATTGTTCATCCAACAAAATCCTGCTTGATACCTAGCCAGGAAATTATGGTTCTGGGGTTTATTTTAAACTCTGTCACAATGATTGTGAGATTAACACCTCAGAAAGCTTCCCAGCTGCAGAAGGACTGCACAAAACTGCTCAAACAAAAATTCTTAACTATTAGGGATGCTGCCAAAATCATAGGGAAGATTGTGTCCAGTTTCCCTGGAGTCCTTTATGGACCCCTTTACTATAGACACCTTGAGCATGATAAAACTCTAGCTTTGAAGCAAAATCAGGGTAATTTTGATGCTATTATGACATTCTCTGCTGAAGCGAGAATAGAATTAGATTGGTGGGTCCAGAATGTACTCACTTCCTTTAAGCCTTTGAGCCATGGTTTACCTGTCCTAACAATTACCACTGATGCTTCAAAACTAGGGTGGGGTGCAACCTGTAATGGTGTATCCTCCGGGGGAAATTGGACTCATATTGAGGCAGAACATCACATAAATTATTTGGAGATGTTTGCAATTCTTTTGGGTCTTAAGACGTTTGCAAAAGAAAGATCCCAAGTCCATATCAGGATAAGGACAGACAATACTACCGCGATAAGTGTCCTCAACAATATGGGCACTAGCCATTCAGATGTTTGTAATAATTTAGGACATAAAATTTGGGAATGGTGCATTGCAAGAGGAATATGGATTAGTGTTGTACACATTCCAGGGAAACAAAACCTGGTTGCAGATTTTGAGTCAAGACGTAACCAGACTGCCTCGGAATGGAAACTAAACACTAGTAGTCTAAACAAAGCATTGAATGAACTTAGATTTCACCCAGATATTGATCTGTTTGCTTCACGCATTAATCACCAGTTCTCAAAATATGTGTCCTACAAACCAGATCCGAATGCTGTCGCGATTGATGCATTTAGCATGGACTGGTCAACATTAAATTTTTACGCATTTCCACCATTTAGTGTTATTTCATCAATGTTAAGCAAAATAAGAATGGACAAGGCGCGAGGAGTTTGTGTGATTCCAGACTGGCCCACTCAGGGTTGGTATCCTATGGCTATGCAAATGCGAGAGCGAGAACCTGTACGTCTAAAGGCAACGGACAGATTGTTGACCTTACCCAGCCACCCCACGGAACAACATCCACTACATCAAAAGCTAAACCTACTGGTAGTTCTATTATCAGGGAAAGGATAAAACGACATGGACTTACTTCCAGTACGACGGATATAGTAATGGCCTCTTGGCGCACAGGAACGGCCAAACAATACTCTATCTATTTAACCAAGTGGAAAACGTATTGTGATAATGAAGGGGTGGATATGTTTTGTCCGGGTGTAATGCATGCTGTTGAGTTCTTGGGATCGCTTTATGCATCGGGGTTAAGCTACAGTGCGATTAATACAGCTCGCTCTGCCTTATCAACGATATTGCCAATGGAAAATGGAGTGACATTTGGGGATCACCCTCTCGTTAGCCGGACAATGAAAGGAATATTTGAACTGAGGCCGGCGCTACCTAGATACTCTGAGATTTGGGACGTTAATGTTGTCTTGAATTATCTAAAGAACCAAGGGATTCCCGCGGCGTTATCACTGAAACAGCTTACCTTGAAGTTAACAATGTTGTTGTGTTTATTGACTGGCCAGAGGTGCCAAACTGTGCATAGCATGGATATAAAATACATGCAAAAAATGACTGACCGATACCGGATCACGATACAGCAGAAGTTGAAACAAACCAAGAGTGGTAAGCATATCGATCCTATCGAACTGATGGCCTTCGATGAAGACCCCGGATTATGTGTCGTACAACATTTGGACGAATATATCGAAAGGACTGCAAAATTGAGGGATAAGCATACGCAGTTATTAATTAGCTATGTTAAACCACACCGTTCTATCTCGAAGGATACAGTGGCCAGGTGGGTCCGGGAAGTTCTTAAATCGTCTGGTATTAATACGGATGTATATGGTGCACATAGCAGCCGAGCTGCCTCGACATCGTTTTGTCATCGAAAAGGATTAGATATGGTGACAATCATGAAGTCTGCTGGTTGGTCGAATAGTGGAACGTTTGCACGGTTTTATGGTAAACCATTAGAACAATCTAATTTTGGACAAACTGTCGTAGAAAATTTATCACTTTAAGTAGTTAACATAAATCTTTGATGTTCATGTTATGTTAAAATTAAATAAATACTCGGTTACGAGTATAGTTCGTGTGCGTAGAACTTTGAAATCTCATGTGACTCTGTAGTGACGTAGACTGATGACAAAATAGAATTTTGCAATTAAACGAAACTTACCTGGAAGTTGAAGTTTGATTGGAATTCTAAGTTGTCATCAGTCAGGAACGAAGGAGTCACATGCCCGTGAAATGTATACCCACGCCGCCCAAATTCCTTCGTTCCTGAGTTTTCTACACCACTCACGATGAAGACTGATTGGCAAGACGCATGCGCATCTCATGTGACTCCTTCGTTCCTGACTGATGACAACTTAGAATTCCAATCAAACTTCAACTTCCAGGTAAGTTTCGTTTAATTGCAAAATTAGAAGTGATAAAATTATTTAACAGGTGAGGTTATACAAACACTAAATTAATCGTAGGGTCTAATGATAAGCTACAGTATACATATTATTTAGATCACCGTGCAAATGGTAGGAGACCAAGGACGCTGGAACGGCGAGCAGCTGCTTCCCTAGCTTTTACCAGGAGAGGGAAATGCCCTTTCATTTTATTAAAGGATTTCGTTCCCTATCTCAGTAGAGGTGCGACTGGCGAGCAAAGTCTGAGCACAATCGTCTGGTGAAAAACCCCCAAACACCGAAATATCAGTTTAGAAAGAGAAACACAATGAAACGAAGTCCAACAGACGATGTTTGGCAAACAGTTTCTAGGATGTGCCGCTACAGATTGAGGTGCCTTTCAAAAAAACTCCCCCCTTTGAAAGGGTAGTGAATGGGGGTTGTACTGGTACATTAGTATATTAAGTCTCATAATTATTTTTATACTTATTATTAAAACTAATAATTCAAAGCAACACAAACGCTCTCCGCGTCTTTTTTCTACCATTCGCTATACTTAGTTATAAACATGCAAAATACTAATCTCTCTAGATTCCATTCTAGTTACAAGTTGTAATCTTTTCACGGTTTTTCAAATTTCAAGCTCAAGTCCTAGTCTGCTTGCCATAAAAACAACTTATGAAAGAGAAATAAAGGCAAATTTAATAGCCAATCAATAGCCAAGTTAAGATCTGGAAATAATTTTTCGACAACAGTTCCGCCGTACTTTCGCTGGATGTCTTCACAAATCGCTTTAATTCAGTAAACTGCAAACCAAGCTCCATCAGTGAACACCGTTTTTTCTTCATGCCCATGGCTAGTTGGTACACTGAGCGTGCATTGCGACGATGTTTCCGTTCATATCAAAAACAGGAGAGTCACTGGCTCCTCAAAATAGACTTATCGTTCGTAGGGCAGACAAAGGCAGACATTCTCAGTCAGTTGCATCGAGCAGTTCGGAGTGTGTATTGGTGTATACACGGCAATAATACACCAGTGTGAACAATAGTGTGAACCCTTAGACCTAATGAGCATGCGCGGTGTGCAGTGTGCGTTAGACAAATTCAAGATGGAGGACGAATTAAAGAAAGCCGAGCATGTTTCGCACAAAGATCCTGAGAGGGCCATGGAACTTTTGTCCGCTATAGGTGCGTATTTTGTTTCATATCAAGAGGAATACTGTTAATTCTGTCAAACACATTATTTGTATTGTATAATTAGTTGCATATGAGTATTTTGTCATCAAGGCAGAATCCACAGAGGATAAAATTTGGCATTTTAATCATTATGCTTTTATATAAGACTAATAGAACAAAAACCAAAGTCCTATTGATGATCTTATTCAATGTTTGCTTCATTTTTATTAATACCGGTACTAAAATTAACTTATAATGGTTATTACTTTAACAAGTATGTTAAATAAGAATATATATTCATGGCAATTTTTTGAACATTCTAGTAGTTGTGTACCCTTGCCCATTTTCCTCCAAATTTTGATCTGAAGCATTTTTTGTTCAAAAACTGTTCTAAAAATGCTTTACAAGCAATAAAACTGTAGATATCAATTGACCTAACATTTAATCAAGGGAAAAGCTTCTAACGAATGCTGAGTTTTATCAGACTCGTCCTAAAACATTTATCCTGTGTATATAGCTATTGAGTTATAGTACAATATTAATGTTATAGTTTGTTAGCTGGCTTGACTTAAAGGACGTCAAGATCTTGACAATGTGCAAGATCCCACTGTCACTTTAAGTGCCATTGATCAACTGTTTTATGATTCACTCGAAATCCACTGGGCACGTAGTAACCAACTTTATTGTTTTAATGTAGTTAAAAGAGATGTAGATGTTACAAATGAAGATGACTTGAGAGTAAAGGAACAAGCTATTTTAGATCTAGGTTCATTGTTGGCAAAGAATGGACGTGCAGCAGGTACCATGATTAATTAATATCATAATATTGTATTTTTATAACTTCACTGTAATCCAGTTCATTTTTATAAGCATTAAACATTAACTAATCTTAATAATCTAAAAGCATTTCTAAAGGTAGAAATTTCTTTGCAAATTTTTTATGCAGATTGAAAACTTTTGGTTTTTCATTATTTAGCTGTGCAATTTATATTTTAGGCATTTTTTTGCCTTTGTTTGAGAAAATGATTACTGTATTATTAATCCTTAGAAACTGAGGATGTATGAGCTACTACAGAACATATACTAGTGATACTGCATTTTAAGTCGTGTATACTGTTTTAAACAGCAGCACCCCTTTAATGAACACTAACTATTGTTTTGAAAAAATAACTAAAAATATTCTTCTAATTTTACGTATTAAAATATAAGTAAATTGGTTTATAACAATAATAAGAATTATTATTAAAATAAGTAATTGCACTTGGGTATTATAATTAGTAATTGCGTTGATGAAGGCCTGGGTTAACAGACTGAAAGCTTTGCAATATTAAATACTTACATGGTATACCTACAAACTAATTTACTTAAATAACTAGTTTTTATCTTCAAAACTATAGTTTTTCTTTGACTTGAAAACTTGAACGGTGGACTGAAAACATGTGACTGTCAAAATAAATCCCATCACATGGGGGGATGTATAGACTTTAGATGCATGGTGAAAATGGATGTAGCCATATGTCTGTTTAGATTCTCTATGCTTAGATCAATAGCTAGATAAAAGGCTATATATAGAGGTATTGCATCAGAATTTTGCTCATTTGAAATACTTTTCCAATATGCAGAACTTGAAGGACTGGTGAAGTTTATTCAACCCTTTATGCTGCTTATTTCCAAAGCCAAGGCTGCTAAAATGGTCCGGGAATTACTTGATCTTTTTCTCGATATGGAGGTATCCACTGGTACAGAGGTGAGTTCTCAACAGATTTTAAATCGTTCCCCAGCACTGATTGGTTGAAAATCATGTTTGGATTCAGGATTCCTGCCAAAATTTATTCGGCCAAACTTATTTAAAACTTTCGAATGCATGAACTTATCTAAATGTTTTTAAAGCTTATTGACATTACAGTAACGTTATTAAGGTTTCGCCTGCTGCTCGTATTTCGTAGGCATCGTCCACTGTCGCTCCCCGTGTGTTTCTATTATGTTATTCAAGCATGGAAAACAAAATAAAATATCCAGTTACGTGGCTCTGGTGGTTTACATATGTTAATGCACTACTTGGGTCGTTTTCATAACGGAAAAGTTATTAAAACGTCAGTAAATAGTGGTGTTCTAGTATTCTTGTCAAAGTTAGTGCAGGGTTTAGCTATTTATGATCAAAGTTCTCAGTTCTTAGACATCTCGAAAATAATAAGAAAATTTAGACGTTAGGCTGAAGAACCTTCGGATTTAGAATTTCATGTGCGTAGAAAAAATAGCGAAAAGCAGCCTCTACTACATATATTATAATGTATATGTATCGCATTTAATAGGTTGATTTGTGTCTTGAATGCATCCAGTGGGCAAAGAGTGAGAAAAGAGTGTTTTTACGACAAGCTTTAGAGGTTAGTATATGCGTAATGAGTACACTGTATGTTATTGTATACTGTATAATACGCATACCGTATTTAGTGTAAAATACTTTCGTTCAGCTGCGTGACTTTAAAACGGATATATACCCTTTTAAATTTAGTCGAGATTGGTGGGCTTATATTATGGTGTAAGGGAGTACACAAAAGCTCTGTCACTGGGTATGTAAAATGTCATTTCATTTTCTAAAGCTGTGAAAATAATGTACCTATGCGTTCTTATTATACCTACAGACCTGCATGGAATTTGATGGGAGATACATGCAGGTTGCGTCATGTAAATTGTGTGAAACTCTCTAGGTTCGAAATTATTGAAAGAGCTGAAAAAACTGGACGATAAGATGTTATTGGTCGAAGTACAGTTATTGGAAAGTAAAATATATCACTCGTTAAAGAACATTCCCAAATCAAGGTACATACAGTACATTTGAACTTTATAACGCGTGCTTGCCTTAGCGACAGTAAAAGAGTCTCCCTCTGCATGACGACTAGCCGCTGTGAGTGCATGGAGATGGCTCAAATGCATATGGCCATCAAAAAGCTGCTTTAACCAATCTGAAAGAGTTTTCGCAACTCAGCAAGTGTACTTAGAGTAGTCGCCCCAAGACCATTTTTAATATTGCTATATAGAGGGACGAGGGCTTCAGTTTGAACATGACAAAAATAGCGCTTATGGCAAAAAAATGGAGATTACCTTTCGTATTGTATTCTGTGGGACTCTGCCCGAATGCCAACGAGGCCGTTACGGTAATGGTTAACCAAGCAACAGGCGTGCAAAGATATGTTTCTGCCCAACAACCATGATAACGTTCATCATCTGTGCGATTTTAAGCGCTGATTACATTACACAATTAAAATTACAGTACTTTTTCATTTTCCGTAGGGCTGCTCTTACGTCGGCACGGACGACTGCCAATGCGATTTACTGTCCACCGAAATTGCAGGTAGGTGTGCAGTTGAAATTTGACTATATACGCACATCAAAGGACAATTAAATTTCACTCGCTTCTCACTATGCACTTTACCACATCGAATGATATCATTAAGGACTGGTTGTACGAGGTACATGTACACTGTAGTTAATTTTACTATTGACTTGAGTATTT